GTCTTATATCTTAACCTCATTTAGGTTTTTATATCTTTGGCTATATTTTAAAACCAAATATTTGAGTAAATCTTTATCTTTTTGTTATCAACGAGCATCTTGCGTAACGTTGGGTAATGATATGTCTATTCTTCCCATCTGATATAGTGTAAGTCTGTTTAATAATTCATACTTTTTAATAGGATTTTGTTTTTAAAAATGGAAAGGTGCAGCTTTTCTGTTTCCTAACTACCAGGGAGCGGAAGTTCAAGTTGGAAAGTAAAGAAGAAGGGGCTAACTTTCATTTAGCACAGTAAAATGCTAGCAGCAGGCCCGACTGAGAACAAACCTCTCAAATTCACACGTTTTGTCAATTATTTGCCACATTAAAGGTATAGTGGAGAATTTTCGCACATTTTTAAAAAGACCTGCCCTCTCCACTTAAAAAAAAGGAACATGCACAACCCTGTACCCGCTCCCAAGAGGGAACGTCTATTATACGTGTGCGAGAGCATGTACAAGCCAATTTCCCCTCGTGCAAGCTCTGTTTAAAAGTTTGTTTTCGCATCGCTCATACAGTACAAGCTTACTTTCCAAAAGATTTGCAATTTTTCCACTATGTCAGACTCACCACCGGTAAGTAAAAATGGGGACGAGAATGATTGACAACTAGGAGGACAAATTATTTTGATGATCCACCGAGAAAAAGAACATCCTCCACTATACCTTTAAGGCCTGAACACACTGGCTGTGTACAACTTTTTAATCTCCGATCCGATTTTTTTATTTATAGTGAGGCTCCATCTGCGCAGGGTGGGCAGATTTTTTTTCTTCTTTTCACTTCTGTCTCTGTGCCACACACACATTTAAACAATTTCCCACATCTGACTTGGACAGATTATGAAAAGTTCTTAAAATGAATAAAAAAAAAATAAAAATCGACGGATAAAGACCCCCAGTCTATTTTAGCTGGACTATGCAGCAGGTCAGCAGCAGTTTCATGGATCTAGTCGGTAGAGGAATGCGACTGCAAAAAGGAAACGCATCCACTTTGGGGAAAACACAAAATCAAATCAAGAGTCACTTTTCAGAGTCGCACATCGCGTGTATAGCAAGTGGGACCAACCCGTGCAAAGAAAGAATACTTTATCTCAAGAGGACAGAAAATGGATAAAGTAGTGATCCTCTTTGAGCCTCACAAAAACGAGTGACAGAAAGTGCAATTTATCAATCTCCTCGAAAATAAACCTAACTCCAGGAGGAGAAACAGACATAGTAAAATAGTGTTCCTCTTTGAGCCTCACAAAAAACAAAATAACGAGAGGCAGATGAAAAAGGTAAGCGAGACGTATCTCTTTCACCTCTTAAAGAAAAAAAAGAAAGTAAAACTTCGATTGCCTTTCCAGATCTCTTTCTGAGTCATCTCTCACTGCTGCAGTCAGCATATAAACCGTCCCACATATTTTATTAATATTTTTTCTTTTCTTTAGACATAGATTTCATTATGTTTTTAATATCGACATATGAACATTCTCTATCTGATCTAGTTTGAGACGCTGCACAGACTCGCTTTGTTTTATCGAATGTGCCAGTGTTTTTTTTATTTTATTTTTTTATAACTTCATTATCTGTCCAAGTCAAATGTGGGAAACTGTTTAAATTTGTGTGTTACACAGACAGAAGTTTAAAAAAAATCTGCACCGATCTGCCCACCCTGCCAAGCCGGAGCCAGTGTGACTTGGAAAAAAAATTGAATCAGAGATTAAAAAGTCGTGCTTCTGTCCCTACTCTTGGGGTCATATGTAGAGCTCCCCCTACAGGTTTAGTGGGGTGCAGTTCAGCAGATACCAGAACCTTATAGCCTGGTGCAGCTTTTATATGTACTCCAGCTTCTAAAAAAAAATGTTACGCGTGCAGCTTCTAGTTAGGTCTCTCTATAGTCCAGAAAATATGGTAAATCACTTGTTTGTAGCAGTTAATTCATTTAAAGTCCCTTTAATGACATCCATGTTTAGAATAAAGGAATAAACATCTAACCAGAAATGTATAGGGCTGCATTATATTATCATATCAGATATTATATAGTAATTCAGTTATACATTTTTATTGTTGTTTCTGTTAACCACTTCTTTACCTTCAGAAACTTTTCAGTTGTAATAAATATCCAGTCACCAAATACTTGGTACTCAAATAATTGGTGGTTATCAGTTACTGCTGTCTGGGTAGTTCTCTATGATATGCATATTCTGTAGAGTAATATAGGAAAAAAAATACATTTACTATATGCACGCAGATATTCATAATAATATTATGCATGTTTCCTCTCCTACAAATATTTTCTTAAATGATAAATTCAATTTGCTAGTTATTTAGATTTCTTTATTCCATAACTCAATTGTACTTTTTTTTTCTTTTTTTATTCAAACAAGAGCTTTCCTGTATGAGTTAAAATGAACTGTCATTTTTTTCTTGTAACTTTAGTATTCTTCATCTTTAAAATATATTTACTTGCTCATTGACTTTAATCTTGTTTCAGTGACTTGGTGATATATTTAATCTATTTTATGTTATGTGTAATCTTCTATTACTGCAGCTACAATGAATGAGCTCATTATGGATCCTCTTTTATTTGTCTTCCTGTAGAAAAATTCATCCCAAAACTCTGAGAGTTTCCTCTTGGGCCATCAGGTCAACTCATGCAGCAGGATTGCTCCAGCAAATAATAAAGTCACCACAAAAGACACTTGTGGGCAATCATTACATGTGTTAGGACTGGAACAAAGCTCTGTTTATGCTGCTGAGGAAAACCATCAAGCATCCTGCAGCACAGAGAGAATCAGTTCTAATGAAACCAAACCACCACCAAATGTTGACCCGGAGGTTTTTAAGCTCCTTCCAGAAGAAATCCAGAAGGAAATTTTGTCTCCTTCTTATTTTAAATCCCAGCCAAGCCCCTCAGCGTCTGAGACCCACCACATGTCAACAAACAAGCCTCAAGAAAAAGATTTACCAATGAAAGTGAAGTCATCTAGTATGAATCCGCCTTGGCCGGCGGGAGTACATGTAAATCACGGAGAAAACGTCACGGAGAACTTATCGCTCCCCCAGTCATCTGACTGTAACTTCCCGGGAAATGTAGACCCCAAAGTGTTTTCTGAACTTCCTTCAGAAGTTCAGAAGGAGCTCCTGGCTGAGTGGAAGCAGCAGAAGCCAATTTTGAAAACTCCTTCTTCAAGAAAACCAGGAAAAGCCTCGACCTCCAAAGGCAAAGATAGAAAGGCTGAAGGGAGAGCCAGTCAGTCCAATAATCTGTTCAAGTATTTCAAACCTGGTTAGAGGGGGAAAAAAAGGATCTTATTTTTCTAAATGTTTGCTCTGTACGATTTTGTTCACAATTATGGGATAAATTAACAAGACTGTTTCTGTCTGTTCTTTAATAAAGCTGCCTTTCAGTGTCGCCACATTGAATTACACATGGTATAATGGGGCCTGTTGGACGGAAGTTTAATAAAAAATGTAATTTTGATAACACCAAGTGGAGTTAAACTTGTTTTTGTTGTTATTGCAGTATTAAGTGGGGCACGTTCCTTGCTTGTTATTTCTCTGCAGAACATTATCAAAGACAAACAAGTTTTCAGAGAGCTTTTCATGCCTGCCCTCCCCTCCTTCATAAGAAAAGCTCAGCTTTGCCTGGATCTCTGAGGCCTGAAACTCCTCCCTGGATCACATGTGAGATGGGGGGGGCTCAGAGTCTGCAATGTGCAGTCGCTTTATGAGAGCCATTATTTTCAATTCATAAAGATTGGAAGGGCTTCTAATGGATGGATGGGATTTCTACAGATAGATCGGTAAGATTCCCCTAACATTTGATGATGCAGGCTATTTAAGGACACACCATTTGTTCATTTAGATGCTCCTGGTCAATTTTACAGCAGAGCGCTTATAAAGTACTCAACTTCTCAAAACAATGTGCCTTGTTGCAGCTCAGTTATTGACAGTTAATCATTTTAAATCCAATTCAAGGGCCAGTAAGTCAGTGTCACGTCTGATAACAATGACCTCATACAGCTCTGAGATGTCTGTGGTTTCTGAAGTCAGTGAAAGGGAGTCCTATTTTCCACAGCGAATTCAGGGAAAACTCTAGAGAGACATTTGACTGCTCATGTGGAATCCAGCTCCAGTCATGTGCTAGTCCTTCCTTGGTCAGGGGGTTATTACGTACTGTTAAGCCTCTGTGATGGTCATGCCGCTTCAGTCCAAAAATACTGCAGCTAAGATGGTAGAATTTAACTCGCCTGGTCAGAATTTACTTAGAATCACTCTAATACCAACTCTACTGTCTACTATCCCATGAAAACATGCAGAATCTTTTGCAGGTTCAGTAAAACTGCACCATGGTCGACTGCGACTACGATTATCTGATCAAGCTGCTGGCCCTCGGGGACTCAGGTGTGGGAAAGACCACCTTCCTTTACAGGTACACGGAGAGGACGTTCAACAGGAAGTTCACTACAACAGTGGGAATTGACTTCAGGGAGAAGAGAGTGGTGAGCAGCTGAAGATGAAACTTGTTCCTTAATAAAGTATTTCCACAATGTATTCAAGTTGAAGTGAAAATCGACAGTGCATGCACTCTACAAACTATTTGAAACATTCATGCAGAAGGTAGTTTGAAGTGTCCCTTATGGTTGAAACATGTAGTTCCTCAGCTTTACCTGTTTTCAACAAAATGCTCAGAATAAAACGGCTCAGAATAAATTACTAAATATAAATGTGGAAGGTTTTTCTATTAATTATACCACAATCAACCCTAGAATTTCTTCATGTTAAATATATCAAACATTTTCCACAAGTGGTTCACCTGTTACTTACTGACTTATTTCTAAAATTGACCCAATGTAAGGATAAGCCTGAGTTTATTGTTGATGACAACATAGAACAGAGGTGGAAAGACCAGATCTCATTCTTGGGAACTGTTTGTTTGGGTGAGTTCTCTGGTGATGTCAGGAGTACTCAGTCAATTTGGTCACGTGATAGAAAAAATGTTTTGTTTCGTGTCTGTAGTGTAAGTATAATCAGAGGTGTTACAATAATGTATCTTAACAACAAAGTTCACATAGATGGAGAGATAAGGAGGCTCAAAAAAGGAGCCTTGAGGAACTATTGGCCATCATTCTTTTTTATTCTGACTAAGCAAATAGGTGCAACCCTCTCATTTAATAACTTTAGTATGGGCAACTATGTTTCAGTTTGTTTCAAAAGTGTCAAATTATTTGAATGCATCAAAGCAGAGAAAATATTGAAGGGATTGCAGAAACTACAAAAATTGGGTAAAAAATACAATATTTAAAACTGAAAGGCTAGTTAGGACCCATTGTCTGGAAGGAACAAATATATAGATAGACAAGATATCAACATACTATAATTTGTAGCGATTATTAAATAAAATGGTCAAATAATTTCTGTTTGTGCGTCGTAAAAAATCTGGACTTTTCCAGTTGGATGATGCTCTGGTTTGGTTCAGGTGTACACAGGAACTGGTGCAGATGGGACCAGTGAGAGAAACTTTAGAGTCCACCTTCAGCTCTGGGACACAGCTGGTCAAGAGAGGTAATGTGGACATTTTTACCATCTTTCAATCCGCACTATCGCAAGATTATCTTTCCCAGCTTGTCTAAAAATCGATTTATTCCCAGGTTCCGCAGCCTCACAACAGCTTTTTTCCGAGATGCAATGGGCTTCCTGTTGATGTTCGACTTGACCAATCAGCAAAGTTTCCTTAACGTTAGGAACTGGATGAGTAAGTGGCTTCTTGTTGTTTTAAAGCCTGACTGATTAATAGTTTCATCCTGATTGTAACAACTTCCCCTGCGTTTGTGCAGGTCAGCTTCAGGCCAACGCATACTGTGATAACCCAGATGTGGTGCTGGTGGGCACAAAGGCAGACCTCAAAGACACGAGGAATGTTAACGCCAGACAGGCCAGAGAATTAGCAGACAGATATGGGTGGGTGGAAACAGTTCAGTCTTTGCCTAAAAGGAAAGATGTGCTTTTATTTATTGAAAGGATTTTCTTCCTATGTCTAAATTGTTCCTACTACTCCCACTTTACCACCTGTTGGTTAAATCATACTTTTACTGCTAGTTTTGAGGTAAGGACTAAATCATCTTTAAAGACTTTATAACAAGATGAGGGGAAATTAGTGCCCAGGACCTGAAGAGCTTTATCTACACAGATCAATAGTTTACTATAATTTAATATACAAACAAGAATAAAATAAAAGCAATACATTTCTAAGATAAGGCAGGCTTGGTCAAAGCTGAACAAGAGCTTTAGCTGTACTTTAGACAAACTCCCTGATTATTTCCTAACAACAGATCACTGGGAACAAAGCTTTTAATAACACTTTCCAGTATATATATATATAAACTCAAAAAGAAACTTAAACATAACAAAAAAGTCCACAAAGGGCAGAATCATGGCAATAGTCGGTGGGAGATTCCATTACATACAAGAGATCATGAATCCAGCAAACAGCTTCTAGGTGCCAAACCAACCTGTTATTAACTGTCTGGAGGCATCCAGACCAAAACATGAAGATGGTTCATCCTCCTCAGACCTCAGTCAGCCAAAGAGCAAGAATGATCAGTTTAAGATTACTTCTTTACTGTGGTTTATTTTTACGGGTTATTTCAAAAGAATTTAGTGAGTGTAACTTCAGACAGAGCTTAATGCCAAAGCAAAAAAAAAAAAGATCTAAAATATAGAACCAAACTAATCTAAGCAATGCAAAGCAAAATACAATAACTTACCTCCCCATCCAAAACAGGAGAAAACTAAATGAAACTAAACAGGTTGCTCATACCTACAAGCTCCTCTAAGTGATTTCAGACTGGTTGAGATGAGCAGAAGATGAACGCCAATGTCAAGCAGTAAGGTAAATACTGTAGGCTGGTTCGATCAAAATTAGAAATCAGATGACATAAGATCATGTGTAAGGAATAAAACAAGTCTAAAGAAAGACAATATCTGAAAGTCATATTTTAACAAATAAGGAAATTCTCCATCCCTCAGCTGATCAACCTTTTTGATTTAAAAATTAGATGTTCTACATATTTTGATTAAAATCATATAATTTTAAAAACAAAAGTAACAAACAAACAGAGGTAAAAAAAAGATGTAAATATTTGTACATCTCTGTAACTGGTTGCATCATGCTATACGACATTTGTGTTTGATTCCTAAAACATTCCCGTGTTTCCATCAGCGTCCCCTACTTTGAGACGAGTGCTGTGACGGGAGTTAACGTGGATTTGGCAGTGACCTCCCTGCTGAACCTGGTGATGGAGAGGATGGAGCAGAGCACATACGGGGCCCACAGCTCCGAACCAAACGGCAGCCCCACCACCAGCCATGAGGCAGAGGAGGCTCCCATTCGGAGGTGGTGCTCCTGTTAATGTCCCCAGCACCAGCTTTGTGGGATGAACAGACTTTAAAAGCCAAACATAGACTGATCGACTCTTTTACACTTCTGGTTCGGAGATCACTACATTTATTTCTGATTTTTTTGCAAAAATAAAGTTTAGTTTAATTTCGTTTTCTCTCTCTGAGACTATGGTAATATCATGAAACAGATATCTTATCTCTTTAAAAATGTTAAAAGCACCTATGATTTTAAAATAAGTAAAACTATCTATTCAGCGGTGCAAAATTGATCAGGCCTAACAACTTTAACAAAACGAGAACACATTTTATAGAATCTCCTTTATTTTCTCTTGTGTCAAAATAAAATAAACAGCTTTTTGGTCAGTTTGTGCTTCTTGATTGTTGAAAAATATAAATGCAATAAAAAAGAGAAAAAAATGCATTTTTATGAAACAGTACGAGTAGACTTCCCCATCAGCTGAACTTATTTGGAAATAATTTTAGGAATGAAAGAATAAAAAAAGTATAAAGTTAATCATTGCAGAGAAACAAATCTTTTTGATTAATTCTGGTGGTCATTTTTTTTTTATACAAAGTTGTTAGAAGTATTAATACTATTATACTCACAATGAAAGTTTCTTAAATGTATTTTCTAACTGAATTTATCCTCATTGAACTTTAACACATATTTTATCTATATAGCGTATTAACTGTTGGTTTAAAACCAATATGTATGAAAAATAGGACCCTGTGTTTAAATGAGATGCTTAGTTTAAATCATGTAAAGAAAACAAGTAAAGATGAAGACAAACTGTAAATTAAATTAAAGTTGACCATTACTAAGAAAGTGGAAGGAAACTATGGACAAAGAGGATCAAGTCTCTGTCTTTGTTCCTTGTTGATATTTATATTGCCATGACAATCTATTATAGCCTAACATTACATCTGGCACTTACTTTCTTCTTCAAAATCAGCTGACCTGTTTCCATAACAATAAATAACATGCTGTGTATCTACAGCGACTGTTTTGATGATGATCAAAAGCCTTCCTTTTTGTTTTCTGCTTCCTCATTTGTTTGGGTGGTTGTCTGAGCTGCTTTAAAGTTAAAGAATAAAATCTTATATCCTTTATTTGGTGAAAAGAAAAGTAACATATTATCTGTTTGTTATCAGATACATTAGTGTGTGAATGTGTGCATGAATGGGTGAATGACTGAATGTAGTGGAAAGCAATGGAGTCCCCTGACTGAAATAAGGCGCCATAAAAGCAGAGACCATTTACAATATATTGGGGGGAAAAAAAGCTAATGAAATATCTAAAAAGTTAATAATAAAATTTAAATGAATGTTTACCGTTATGTCCTGCTGGCGACCTGTCCAGGGTGTACCACGCCTTTCGCCCGTAGACAGCTGGTAGGCACCAGCACCCCTCGCGACCCCGCTTGGGATAAGCGTAATGGAAAATGGATGAATGTTTACCGTAATGTAAACATCAATCTTTAGTTTTAAAACAGTCTTTTAGAAAACAATGTATAATTTTCTAAATCATAAATGAGGCTTTAAGATTTATTTTCATTCAGTATACAAAGATCAGGATTGTTGAACCATAAACTGAATTTTATTGATAAAAAATCTCAAAATTCATTACAGATGACTATTGCTCTACGATCATCTTAGAGAAAAGTTTTTTTTGTAGTTTTTTTAGTTAGTATTGTTGTTATTCACATACATGATGGATTTAAATGTGAAGGGAGCATTTTAAAATAGATTTAAGCCAATATAACCAAATCTGCAGAAATATTGTGGTTAGTGTGAGGAATTTATGCAGGAGTCTAAGCACTTTTGGCACTCAATTTTTTATTTGTGATTCTTGTTATAATAGTTTATTTTCATTCCCTGTTTTTTGATTATTTAAAATGTATAGCAGTTTGGCACTAAGGTGTTATTTCAAATATTCGACCCAACTTGATTCATTCTCCAAATTCTTATGTTTACCCTAATTCAGGCCTTCTGGTTTTTTATTAGAATATTTATCAGTATATAAGGCAACATCACAATCCCAGTGAAAGCTTTAGCCTTTCTTTACATTACCCTATTGTATATTTAAATCTCATAATACTACCAAACCTTATTGGGCAATAGCTGCATTAGACTGTCCAAACATTTAGAGTTTTTGAGAAGCCAAAAGCTTTTATTAAGTAATGATAATTATTTCAATGTTTTATTTCATAAATATATCTGTGTTTTTAAAATTGATTCAACGTTAGTAGCAGATTAACAAAAGGTTGGAGGGACAAAAAAAGGTTTTGCTAAAAAAATTCAACTTTTCATATCATTCTTCAAACACAGGTTAAATCATATTGCATTAAGTCTGGATATCAGCACATTGGCTCATAGTACATTTATAAATAAAAGCAGAAAGCAGTTTATGAAATTGTTTTGTTTGCTATATCTATAATATAACTGTAATGAAAATTGGATCCAGATGATGGCAGCAGTGCAACAGCTGAATTTCAGTTGGATTTTAAAATACCAGAAAAGTTAAAGAAAGATAGTAGAACATGTCATAGAGGATTTTCAATTCAATTCAGTTTATTTATATAACGCAAATTCACAATACATGTCATCTCAAGGCACTTTACAGTTCAACCAGATCATACAGTCAAATTGATTAAAAGTTTTCTATCAAAGGAAAACCAGTTGATGGTATCGACTCATTGACTCGAAGGCAATCCCTCACAGTAAAAGCAGATGTTACATAATCAACACGGTAATCGGTTCTTGCATAACAGAGTTTTTGCTCTGTTCAAGTTTTTCATTTTGGGTCTTTATATGAAGCAAAGTAGAAACCCTAACCCTAAGGTTTAGGAACTCCCTAATAGAGATGTTCTGATATTATTATTTTTTTATCTCCCGTTACGATTACAGTGCTTGTGCTGTTAGTATTGCCCAATACCGGGTACGGATATCAGTATGTTACAAAAAAATATGTATAATCATACTATGCCTGCATGACTGTGACATGATTATCATTGTGGTAAGGCCTGGCGGAGGTTAAACCCTTGAATGGAAGCATGAATGAATACAGCAAATTTAAGCCATTTATTTTTTAAATAGAAATGTAGAAAAAAACCGAAGTAGAGGAGCAGCAAGCTCCATCTCTGACAGGTGTCGAATGGTGAGCTCTTCATCTGTCTACAATAAAAGGCAGCAGGAAGCAGTACGGTGCCACTGTTTTAAGAGTGGTAAAGAAGACTGTGTCAGAACTAATGGAAATAACAAGTAAATAGAGACATTTGAATTGAGAAAGCTTCCTGGAGAGGAAGCGAAACCTTGGAGCCTTGGAAACCAAATGTTTTTAAACGTTATGGAATGACTATGACCTGGATGACATGGAATCTTCATCAGCAAACCAGTAAATAGATTCCTGTTTTAATTCCTATTTTATATTGCATAATATTGGATCAGTGCCTGGACTCCAATACTTGCCCACTCTGATGCCAGAATTTTTGGCAGTAACTGAGACATTTCCGATGCTGATATCGAAATAACTCTTCAGAAGTTAAAGACTACTTTCAGTTATGGGAATTTTCTTTTTTTTTTTCATTCATCTTGTGGATTGGAGATTGGGTAATATAAGTCATTAAATTAGTTTACAAATGTGAAATATAATCAAACCAAACCAAAGCTTCTTAATAAATGGAGAGAAAGGATTTTCCAACTGCTTTAATCACAGTCTAGACTCAAACCATTGTGTCCTGCTCAGCATCTGTGCCGTACTGTAGCTGTTTAACACTACATCCCTGACAGTTTCCCTTGCACATTAAAAGGGAGTCCAGCACAGATAACTTTTGTCTTTGCTCTATTATATATGCAAACCGTGCCTGAACTCAAATGTATTAATTTTTTAAAATCTTAGGTCAAATGTGCAACAGACCCAGCAAACTGTTGGTTTACAGAGTGATTCGCTGCAACAAACAAATATCCAGGGATTTACCAGAGAACTTTTTCTTACTACTCCTGCTTTGTGAAATTGAGCCCTGCAGGCTGGTTGATTTTGGCTACGTCACCCTGTAGGTGTGATTTGTTGATACCAACCTTAGATTTTTTATTTTTTTGAGGCTTATTGAAATCGACTGTAACTACATGCTCATTAAGGAGGAGCAAATGCTACAAGTCTGTGACCTCATGTAATATGCTGGGTGTCCTTTGATATTTTTTTCCTATTCTAATTTTAAACATAATTAAACACAGTTAATTGTGTCTTTATTTCTTTAAACAAACAAGAGGAATGCAACAAAATAGTAGATAGATAATATTTAGGAATTGGGTTCAAATAACATCAGAGATTTAACAGATCTGTTTGATTAATTTAAATATCATGGGATTGAATCAGGGCTGGACTGGGACAAACTTTTTACCATTTGAGCAGAGACAGGCCCACCTGATATTGATGAAATGACAGTTAAACCTACCAAGGTCAAAATGATAAATTTCACTGTATGATTTGGTTAAGTTGTCTCTGTAAAGTGTTGTGAATTGGTGCTACGGTATATAAATAAACAAAATTTAATTTATTAGTAATTTATTTAATTTTTTTTATAAAATAGTAATTTATTTTATTTTTTCAGTTACATACGTTTCTGATACAGATACTGGAAACAGTTTTTAACTTTAACAATGTTATTGCCCTGTTGGACTTACATGTAAGCAAACAATAGAATGCATTACTTAAAATACAATTTCAAAATAGAGAAAAATAAAAGTAATTATAACCTCAAAATACAAAATAATACAAATTACAATACAATTCAAAAATAACTGCAAAGCTGCTCCTTGTGTAGGAACCAATGTAGTTCTGATTGTAAACTATGTCAGTTTGTTGTCTTTCTTCGGGTTATGAGTATCTTGTTCTGAGTATTTCTTAAAAGTAAACGGAAGTTCTCACCTCATGGACATTTCTAACCAGTAGCTCTACAGTGAACCCAGAAGTCTGACGTACAGGTATAGTGAAAGTAAAATCGTGCTCTTTTGCAGAATATTTTTTTTTCATTTCAACAACAAACTGAAATAGCATTCTGTAATACTCTGTGCTACTCAGGGTTAACATAAATTATTTTAGTTTACATATCTCAGCTGTGTCTCCGAATTTACAGTACATTCGTATTCCAGCATAGAGCGGCTGAGTGAAGGTGGTCTGCACTCTGTGGAGCAGAGTCATGTTCTCAGAGACGTTGTAAAACGACAGAGTACCTGCTCGTTGATTTACATACACCCCAATTCTGGAAAATTTAGAACCAGGGATGAGAGTTTGGATTTTGTTGTGCAAAAAAATGTTTTTGTTTAAGCTACTAAATAAAGCCCAGGACTTGTCATTAGCTCCAAACTCAGTGTCTGCTTTATAGACCTCCTTATAAGCGACTGCCACATAGCCTCCCAGTCCGCCCAGCTTCACCTCCCAGTAACAGCGCCCAGTTAGACTCTGTCTACTAAGGATCTGGAATGGTACAGAGAACCTCTCTGGATGATCAGGAGAAGTCTGAGACATTAATGTTATTCTTCGATTCCCCTCATCTAACAGCAGCTGTTTGTGAGCTGTTTTTGGATCAAGGGAGATTTTCTTTGTAAACTTTAAGAATCCAGATCTTTTCTTGGGGTCTGGTTCTGGTTCTGACAGTAAAACATCCACTTCAGTAACTCTCAATGAGATGTCTGCCCATTTCCTCCTTAGGGTGTCCTGAAATTGATCTCCCAGCTCTGAGACAGCTGCTATCACATCTTTAAAGTACCTCGGATGACAAACTTTGATGGTGGAGGAGTAGTCAGGCTCACTGAGAGATGACAGTGAGGAAAAGTTCAGAAAAAAATGGTTATGATCCTCTGTCTGTGAGAGATGCTGCAGCTCAAAATCTTTCTTCTTCAGCTCACAGATCTCCTGCTCCAGCTTCTCCTGAAGATCTTTAACCCTGCTCACTTCTAAATCCTGCTGGGATCGGATCTGCTGGCTCAGTTCAAAACTCCTTTGCTGAAGGAGATATATTACCTCAGTGAATATTGTCTTATTTACCTGGACCGCTTTTTCAGCAGAGACAATTATGGCCTCCATCTCCTGTTGAAGCAACTTAAAATCTTTCTCTCGTTCCTTAATCTTCTGCTGGATCTCTTCTCTTCTCACCTCCAGCTTCTTCTGCTTCTCCATCCTCTCTGCTTCACCTGAGACGATGTCATGACCTTTATGTTCATCCACAGTGCAGACGTAACAGATGCTCCGCTGATCAGTGCGACAGAACATCTTCATCACCTCGTCGTGGCGTGAGCAGATGTTCTCATGGAATTGAAAGGATGGATCCACCAGCTGGTGCTTCTTTAACCGAGCCACATCATAATGAGGCTGGAGGTGATTCTCACAGTAAGACAACAAACACATCAAACAGGACTTTATGGCTTTTAACCCTCTTCCAGGGCAGATATCACAGGCAGTGTCATTGAGTCCGGCGTAGCTTTGATCAGTAGGAGCAGCTCTAATTGCAATCATCTTCATCTGCTCAGTTAAAGCTTCCAGCATGATGTTTTTCACCAGGGTAGGTCTCGGTTTGAAGGTCTGGCTGCACTGAGGACAGCTGTGGACTCCTTTCTCATCCTCTTCATCCCAAAAGTTTTCAATACACTTCATGCAGTAGCTGTGTCCACAGAGAATGGTGACTGGATCCCTTAGCAAATCCAGACAGATTGAACAGGAGAAACTCTCCCGGTCCAGCTCAGCTCCTTTCTGTGCCATTTCTCCTTATAATGAAAAAGTTTCACTTCGTGAAAAAATATTTAACCCTCCTGATCTCTGCTCCTCCCCTTATTGGTTATTATTAAACGATTGAGAAGGAAGTCAAGTTTTCTCTTGTCTGAGGCACTTTAGGTTTCACTTTCTGGCAAATAAAAACCAACTGAGCTTATGTTTACATGGCATGTGGTTGTTCTGTTATTTTATGTCTTATTTATAAAGAATCACATAAAATCATTACTGCTAAGAGCAGGGGCGATGGACAGTTCCAGAGAGCTATGGCTCTGGGTGAGTTTGACAACTCTATTAAAAAGATATCTAGGATTATTCTTATTCTCCTCTTATAATGATGAGCAATATGCTGCTCATGCTTTACATAGGGTCATCTTATATTACAGTAAACTGTTTTTCCATACTACTGTAAGTATGATTCCCGTAGGCATGTAGAATGCAATTTTCTCTCCAGTTTCCCAGGATTTTCCTTGAAGGTGTCATAATCTGGTGGATAGCAGTGTTGGTTTCTTGCAGGAGCGCTTTGGGAGGAGGAGCTGTGTGCTGGCAGCTGGGCCACCTGATCCAGCTCTGCTCATTATCAGCTGGAGATTTAAGGAGCAGATTGACCACATCTCCTTGCAAAATAGTCAATCATTCTGCATTGAACACATGTATCTCCCTGTGCAAAAACCTAGCAAATCTTTTTTTGATCTCCTCGAGTTGACTCTTGTCTCTCTGCTCCACCCCATTTTAAAGAACTCCACAGTGAATCTGATCCACCTGCCTGCCTCCTCTTTACCAGCAATCCTCCAAGCACTCACTAGGTCCAGATAAAGGTAGCCTGACTTGGATCTCTTCCCCTCATCCCCCTTGGACGCCACCCCGCACCCCGGACGAACTCCCACGGCCCTCAAAAAGCGTCATTCATCCTCTCACTATCAAACTACCTTGGATTCAGCTGACTTCTGCCTCATCTCCAGACACTGTCTGTCCTCCACGGCTCTCAGCGAACAATCAAGCTAGTTTGTAAACTCACTTTGCTGCTCAAATAAAGAAACCAT